TGTTTTTCCTTCTCTAGAAGTCCAGAGGGCGAGGTTAATCAGACACAAAATAGTAACTCCTTTTCCAAAGCCTTGGGGAATGTCATGAGGGAAACATTCTTGTGGGGCTTTGGGATTTTTTTTAGGCTTCCTGTGGAACTGGCTTACCAAGGCTCGTGGAACAGACAAATACCATTTGGAAATATGGAAAGAATATAATTCTAGCTATTTTGGATACTGTCTGTTATAGACCACCCAAGGTAGAAACTGTGTGGCTGTCAGCACATTCAGCTCTCTTGAGTTTTTGTAATCAGAAAAGAAAATTAAACAGTTATAATGTCCATCAATTGGTGAATGGATAAACAAAATATGGTGTATCTATATGATGGGAATATAAAAACTGACAAATGCTCTAACGTGGATGAACCTTAAAACATTATGTTAAGTAAAAGAAGCCAGATGCAGGCCCGGCGCGATGACTCACGCCTGTAATCCCAGCACTTTGGAAGGCCGAGGTGGGTGGATCACCTGAGGTCAGGAGTTCAAGACCAGCCTGGCCAATGTGGTGAAACTCCATCTCTACTAAAAACACAAAATTAGCCGGGTGTGGTGGCATGCACCTATAATCCCAGCTACTTGGGAGGCTGATGCAGGAGAATCACTTGAACCCAGAAGGCAGAAGTTGCAGTGAGCTGGGATCACACCACTGCACTGCAACCTGGACGACAAAGTGAGACTCTGTCTCAAAACAAACAAACAAACAAAACCAGATGCAAAAAACTATATACAGATGCTCCTCAACTTACCCTGATAAACCTACCATAAGTTGAAAATAAATGCATTTAATACATCTAACCTACTGAACATCATAGCTCAGCCTAGCCTACCTTAAATGTGCTCAGAACACTTGAACACTTACATTAGCCTATAGTTGGGCAAAATCACCTAACACACAGCCTATTTTATAATAAGGTGTTGAATATCTTATGTAATTTATTGAATACTGTACTGAAAGTGAAAAACAGAATGGATGTATGGGTACTTGAAGTACAGTTTCTACTGAATGTCTGTTGCTTTCACACTATGGTGAAGGTGAAAAATTGTAAGTAAAACCATCGCAAGTTGGGGACCATCTGTATTGCATGATTCTATTTATGTGAAATATCCAGAAAAGGCAAATCTGTCGAAACAGAAAGCAGATCAGTGGTTGCCTGGGAGTGGGTTTGGGGATTGATTGTAAATGAGCACAAGGAATCTTTTTAGGATGATAGAAATACTTTCTAAATCTAGAATTTGCTAAATTTACTAAATATCATTAAATTGTTCACTTAATTTTATGAAATTACACCTCAGTAAAACTGTTTTAAAAACCAGAAAGATTACCATTGCATTTTCTCTAATGTTAGATCATTCGTGATTTTCCTTTCTGGTCACCAGTGACTGTGGCATACAGGGATGAGCAGAGAGAATGGACCACTTCTCGGGCTTCCTTTGGGTGAAGAGCTCTGTAGTGGGTTCTGAGGAGGCTACAGATAGAATGGCCACATTTTCTCAGCCAAAAAGGGAAGTACAGAGTTGGGCAGTATCCTAGGTGCACTCATTTTCTCATTTATTGTTTATTTTATTTTATTTGTTATTTATTTATTTTGAGATGGAGTCTTGCTCTGTCACCCAGGCTGGAGTGCTGTGTCGCAGTCTCGGCTCACTGCAACCTCCGCCTCCCGGGTTCAAGTGATTCTCCTGCCTCAGCCTCCCAAGTATCTGGGACTACAGGTGCCCACCACCATACCTGGCTAATTTTTTGTATTTTTAGTAGAGTCGGGGTTTCACCATGTTAGCCGGGCTGATCTCGATCTCTTGACCTTGTGATCTGCCTGCCTAAGGCTCCCAAAGTGCTGGGATTACAGGAGTGAACCACCGTGCCCGGCCTCATTTTCTCATTTAATCTTCAATTAATTCTCATAACAATCCTACAGGAAAGGTACAGTAGGACATATGCTCGTTTTAAAGAAGAAAACCGGGGCTCAGAGAGATTGAATCCTGTAAAATCTCAAAGTGTATAAATAATGGAGTGTAGAGATTTAACCACAAGTTTTTCTGGCTCCAAAAAATGAGAGATCTTTGTTATAAAAATGCTGCCTCCTAAGAGGAAGTATATTTATTGGAGGAACACTATAGTCTCTGACAAATGAAAAAAAATGTTTTAGGGAACAATGGCCATTCTGATCAGTAAACGACTAAATGACCATGGTAGGTAGAGAATACAACAGGACTGGCTCTGTTTGTCTGCACTGAGATTGGGCTGGTAGGTTATGGAGGGTGCTGATGTGAACATGCCTACTTTTTGCAGTGGATGACCCCGATCCTCTGGGTACGCTGAATTGTTAGTTCCTCTCCTCTTGTTTTTTCTTGGTGTGGTTAAAAAAAAAAAATGCATCATGGAATATTTGACATCCCAGAAAAATAAAGAATACTCAAATGCCTACCAGCTAGCTTAATAAATAAAACAGGATGGCTATACAAGTAAGCCAAGTTACACAGTGTTAGAAAACTGGACCCTGAGTCGGAAAACCTAGATTCAAATCCCAGCTCCAGTGTTTATTACCTTGGACAAGTCATAAAACCTTTCTGAGCTTCTGTTTCCCCTTATGTGAAAGAGGGATAATCCTACTCACTTCCCGTGTTGTAAGGATTAAATGAGATCATGCACATAAAGAGCTTAGCCTGATACACACTGGTTAATAATAGCTCTTATTGTTATAAACTGTATGACTTGATAACTGTAAAAGGCACTAAAAATAAATCTTACATAGATTTCATCTATCCCTGTAATTAACAGTACTTTCTCCCTTCAGTGAATTCAGTTTTGAGGGGAAATTATTTTCTTAACTTAATAGGCACTAACTTGTGTGTCAGCCCTTGCTTGGCTTACCTTGATTCTGTCCCTAGCTCTTGTCACTGCCCAGTTGGGTGACTATAGATATGTCACTTCACCTTGTGGGCCTTTGTTTTCCCATAAGTAAAGTGAGTAGCTAGCTGAATTATTTCATCCAAGCCTCACACTCTGTGATTCTCATGTACCACTGAGAACATTTGGAATCAGAAGTAGAACATGCTACAGGTGTGTGCCTCTCCTTTGGTTTCCTTAGTGTGGAGAAGGAAGCATGGCTGAAGGATTAAAGCTGAATTACCAAAAGAGACTGAAGGGCTGGCCCACCCCTTGGGCGTTTCTCTGCTTAACACATCACACAGAGTGGTTTATACGCAGTGACTTTGCATCCTGACTTGCCACATCAGTCCTGGCTACCAACTGTGGTCTGGTATAATTAAGAGCTCCCCACTCCCTGACTTTCATTCTCAAAAGAATCATAGTTAACACAATAGATTAAAAGGTCACCATAGTAAAAACTGTCATTTATAAGGTATGAAGCTGGAACTGTATGAGACTCTCATTCAGGATTCTGGGGTTATAGTCATATAATAACCAAGACGAGTGAAGGACTTCACTGTTTAAAGTGCGCTTTTGCCTAAATGCTCCCATTTGTTCTGCAAAACAACCTTGTGCAATAGGGCAAAGTGGTGTCCGTATTGCCTTTCTACTGAGGCCCAGAGAGATTAAGTGACTTGCCTGGGGTTGCACAACTAGTAAGTGATAAGAATACAGATTGGAACTCATGGCTTAGGTTTTCCAAATGCTGTGCTCCTGTCTGCTTTGTCCTGTGATAGAATCTGCTAGCTCCCAGAGTAGGGTGTGAAGGCTGGATTCTAGAAGTTTGCATTGTCAGTTTCTTCAGAGCCTGGAGAATGGGATGCTCCAAGAGGAAGTAATTCAGCCTGACCTAATCAGCAGATCACGTCGGGCCAAGGCACTGGCAGGGCACACTTCCTCTTCTGCATGGAATGGAGCTTGCTTCTGAAAGGACTCCATTCCTACTTTCTGCCCCTCAACTAAGCCTTGGAGGAAACTCTTGTTCCTTCACTAGCAGCCTCTTTCCCAGCCCGGGGCTAACCTGTAAGTGTGCATTACCTACCCGTCTAACTAGGCCTTTGAAGCTTTCTTGCTTCACATCTGTCTTTCCCCCCTTGCCAGTTAAGAAAAACCCATTCTAGAGTGATACGAAAGCAGAGAGTGCTGAGTATGTTTGCCCCCAAGGTTCCTTCTCCTCTGTCCCTCAGGCTCAGTGGCCCCCCAACTTCACTCTTAGGGTCTGCTCAGACTCTGGCCATCTGCATCTAGTGTTAACTGCATAGAAAGGAGGGATCTCCCAAGGAGAAGCCCCTCGTGAGCCGTGGCCTTTGCCTGTGAATAAATATTTTATTCTCCTCTGCAACTCTTTATGCGTGCCTTGAGGCAAATGTATTTTAACGTTGAAAAATACTGTCTGGAATAAAAACAAACATTTATTCCCACTCTGTTCTAATTTCTTTTAATGTAGGGAATATTTTGTATGAGTCCATTATGGAAGCAAGTCCTTCTAGCCTGTCCTATACCCACCCCAAATTAGAGTTATTTGTTCAGCAGATGAGGGACACAGAGCCACATATTTGAGAGTAGAACAACTGGGGAAAGCAGAGCACGCAGATCATGGAGTGGGACAGCAGCCGCTTGGCACACTCATTGTGGCTTGAAGCTTAGAACATGGACTTGGCAGAAGCCAAGTGCACTGTGAAGACCCATGAGCTTCCCCCAGTGCCAGAGTTCCTCCATCCCCTGCCTGTAGAACAAGCACAGTCTTGCTCGAGACGCTTGCTTTTTCAGCGGTGTCCTTACTGAGAATTTCCTCTTGGCACCTACCAGACATCTAGTTGCAACTTGCCTCCTGTATCCACTCTAATTTTAATGGCGAGAATAAGCTAATTTCTTTGTGGTATAGGCTGATTTTAATTGACTGTGATACCAATGAAGTGTTCAGGAAGCCTGTCATATCCTAAAGAAATCAAACTCACGTGCAGGCTGAAACAGCCCGTTGAACAGGAAGAAGAGCTCCCCATCTGACCAGAGTCTCTTTATTGTCTTGCAGAGATCAGGAATGGAAACCTCAAGGCCATTCTAGGCCTCTTCTTCAGCCTCTCCCGATACAAGCAGCAGCAGCAGCAGCCCCAGAAGCAGCACCTCTCCTCACCTCTGCCGCCCGCCGTGTCCCAGGTGGCCGGGGCCCCCTCCCAGTGCCAGGCTGGCACCCCTCAGCAGCAGGTGCCAGCCACTCCCCAAGCCCTGTGCCAGCCTCACCAGCCAGCGCCACATCAGCAGTCAAAAGCACAAGCTGAAATGCAGTCCAGGTGGGGGCTCCTTGCCAACTGATGGTTCTGTTTCTCAGACATCTTCCTCCACACCAACCAGTCTCTAGGCTATCCTGTATGGGTTTTTCATTTGTGCTTCTTCAATGCTGAGAGCTACTGGTGGTTAGTGGGAAATTAGCATGGCCTTGAAATGGATACAGTGAGGAGCCCTTCTTGTGTCTGGGGGAGATGTATACTTTTATAGGTCAGAATTGCCAGCAGCCAAAGCTAATTAGCTGCTCCTGCTATTACTCTGGCCTATTACACACATGCTTGTAGGCAATAAACAGCCCCTAAAATAGACTTCAAACCCCTTTTGTGTGTCTGCCTACAAGCTGAATGTTCAGTGTTATACATGAGAGTAGTTTTACTTAGTGGAGGTAAAAGTTCTATTCCAGTGGATGCCTCTGCTTTGCCAGAACAGAAATATAGAGGGCACTGAAGAAAGGTGGCAAGGGAAGGAGGCAGCCATCCCTGAGCGGGGCAGCATCGCCTAATGGGAGCAATTACCATTAAATGTGACTGTTGTGTTGAACTGCCATGAGGAGAGTCCCACAATGCAGGAGTGATCGGTAGGGTTAGGGCCTGGATTTTGTTCCCAAGGGGACTGACGTTTACCAGTCATACTCACCAGGTACAAGCCAATTGTCACTGTAGTTACCATCTACTGTGCTACAATGGAAATAACATCACTTTGTAAAACTTTTGTCTTAATGGCAGAAAAAAAAAAGGAAGACTTTAGAAACTAGAGAGTTCTTGACTCGAGGTCAAGTTCTACAGAAAAGTTCATACTGTTTTCTTTTAAGCCACAAGACTTCAGCTATAAGCCCTAAATGTCACTGATCAGATTGATTGCTTGATTTCATCCAGTGTATGCTGAAGTGTAATGGCCTTTCCTTTTCATTCCCCCAAAGCACCAGCATTAATAATCATAAGGCTTCTCACACACCTTGATGTACCTTTTATTACCCATTGTAGTTAGGCAGAGCACAAAGCTGCTCAAACACAGCTGCTGCCTTATAGACAGTTACAGCCTTCTTTTTTCCCCATGAGAAGTGCTATTTCCCAATTGTGATGGTGTTAAAACCAGCAGTGATGGGTGTAATGTAAATCAGGCCCCGTAATTAATTATCTAATTATATCCAGTTTGCATTATGGAAATTTGTGGGGTGGGAGAGATGCCTGGACTAGCAATGAGGAACAGACAGCCTAGCAGCCAGTTGCCGAACCCTTTCCCTGGAGAACTGCCTGAGTGGGAGTCACTCCCAGTCAGAGCTTCCCTGATGGACATGGATGATTTAAATGATCAGGGCGTCATTTCCCAGACTGCATTCTGCCGAGTGCTTATTCCCTGGGATGTTAACTTGGGTCATATTGCAGGAGATGAGTTCTGTTGGGGGGGGGGAAATATTGGGAGATAATTTGGGTTAAATTGTTATATGGCTGTCATTGTAGGTCTACTCAGATCCTTGAACCTGCCAATATGCATTTGTTTATTTAATTGGTATTAAGCCTCCCATGTGCCAGACACGGTTCTAGGCACTTGGGAGTCAAGAATGAATGAGATTGCCAAGGTGCCTGCTCTCCTATGCTCCTGGAGGAGGCAGGCAAACAAGCACATGAACAGGGAAGGAAGCTATCAGATAGTGGTGAGTATTATAATAAGACGATGGGATTCAGAGAGGCTGGGTTGCTAATTTAGGTTTGGTTGATAGAAAGGTCTCTCTCAGCACATGAATGGTAAGCTTGGTGTGTTGGAAGAGCATAAACAAGGTTACTATAGCTTAGTAGGGGAGGAGAGGGACCAGTGATAAGGTGGTTTGGAAGGAGAGAGGGCCGCTACGATTTATGTGGATGACAGTGTGACCTGTGGTCCCTGGAGTTGTGCATTGCTGTGGTACTCCGGCCCCGTCATAGAGTACCAGTTAAACTGGATAGGGTTTGGACTCCATTCTAAGGGTGACAGGAAGCCATGGGAAAGTCTTAAAGTAGTAGGAAGACTTGATCTGATTGGCAGGTCAAAAAATCCACCTTTGCTCCTCTTTGGAGAATGAGATTGTGGAGGAGCAAGAATGGAAGGAAGGACCCCAGTTGAGAGGACTTTGCAATCCTATAGATAAGTTGGGTCAAGGTAATAGAAGCAGAAATGGAGATGGACCAATTCTGAATCCTAAGGCAGTTGAACCAAGAGGCATGCAAACAGATTAACTCTCTGGAGTGACGGAAAGAGAGGAATCACAGAGCCTAGATTCCTGGTTTGAACAGTTAAGTAAAGTAAGTGGTGGTATTATTCTTTGAGATGAGGAAGCCGGGGAGAGCAGGTATGCATTATGAATGTTCAGACAGGCGGTGACACAGAAAGGAGCATTCTACAAACTTGGCCACAGCACTCTTCTTATTTTATAGAGCATCTCACTGCATAGGGTTCCAAGGAACATGCATTGGGAAATACTGGTTTATGCCACTGAGCTTTGCTAGCCGGAGGCATCCATTTCCATGGTAGGCATTTGTTTTCTTAAAATAACCAGATATTCCAGTCAGAGCACCCATCTCCTAGTACGCCAAGACATCCTACTACTAACGAGTGCTTTACCTAAAGAAGAGCCAAACTTACTTGAGTCAGGTTTTTACATTCATTTATTCCAGCTACAAAGTGTCCTGACATAATGGCCCACCACCTACAGTGGTGACATGGACTGGGCTTTGGAGTTGCTGTATGTTCTTACCCCTTCATCTTGCCCTGGTTGGGTTACTTCTGCAGAAGGCTGGTTTTTGTTTTTTTTTTTTTTTTGAGACGGAGTCTCGCTCTGTCTCCCAGGCTGGAGTGCAGTGGTGCGATCTCGGCTCACTGCAAGCTCCACCTCCCGGGTTCCCGCCATTCTCCTGCCTCAGCCTCCCGAGTAGCTGGGACTACAGGCGCCTGCCACCATGCCCAGCTAATTTTTTTGTATTTTTAGTAGAAACAGGGTTTCACCATGTTAACCAGGATGGTCTCGATCTCCTGACTTCGTGTTCCGCCCGTCTCGGCCTCCCAAAGTGCTGGGATTACAGGCGTGAGCCACCGCGCCCAGCCAGGAGGCTGGTTTTATTCACTATATCCTGATACTTTCTAATTTTATTTCCAAAGGATAATCTTGTTCTCAAGGTCTAGGGATATGCTATCCCATGCTAACACTCTGGCTATAAATTTAAGAATGATAAAATTACATCAGTGTCTCGGTCTCCAGATTCTGTATTTGATAACCAAAATTCCAAGGGTAATGGTTTGGACCCTTGATTATGAATGTCAAATGTTGATGCAAACCCCCCACATGCCAGGTTTGTTTTGTTTTTTCCGTTAGAACTCTGCCTAAAAACAATTTTGAAACTACCTAGTTTCAGCACCCCTGGGGGGTAGCAAATACTAAAGCTTGGACAACTTTCCCTGAGGTTTGCTAGTAAAGGAGCTATGGAAGTTGGCAAAGAAAATCTGAGAATTTGTTTGCTCCACTGGCATGAAGGGATCAGAGCAAATCCTCCATGACAGCCTCATAGAGGCTCACTTTGCCTCCTCACCTTAGCTCATCTCACAACTGACATGGTGGCCAAGAACTTAATCCACATTTCAGCCTGTGAAATTCCCCCCAGTCTAGAGTCCAGGAGGGGAGCATAGTCTCCAGGAATTGCTTTTTTTCTCCACCTGTGTCTACACAGATAATCAGTATTCAGTTGTTAAGGAATAACCCAGAAAATGACTTTATATTTTTCTCTATTCTCCTCTGTCTCTTCACTGCCTAAGACTAGTAAAACCAATAAATTATTTCTTACCTCAGATCCTTTTCTGAATGTGGTACAGGATGTATGGATGCAAGAAAGATAAATATTTCTTTCATAAAGCAGTAAATAAGTTTAACTTTTTCTTTTATAAAGCCTAACTAAAATTCTTCATGTCTACCAATTTGTAGTACAAGAAAAACAGAATTTAGTGAGTTTAACAAGCATTAAACGGTCATTTCTATAGCATTAAAAGCAAAAATTTCCAAGATCAGCAACATCTGGGTATAGATTTGCCAACATCTATGCCCTTGTTTTGAGTCACCTTTATGGGATCCTGAGGACATTCACCTGAAAAACACCCCAGTAGAACAAGCATGTGAAATAGAAACATCTCAATACTTTAGAAAGGCATAAAGTTGGTTTACTTGTCAAGGACCCCGTATTTTGAGAATAAGGCCTTAAGAAAGACATTTGATGTTTAAAGAAACACACACATGGATGCATACACACAAGCATTCTTAGATAATCTTAACAGCAGTTTCTTCACATTGGAAATCTATCAAATCAGTAAAATGAGACCTAGAAATAAAGCTGCGTGTCATAGAAAACAGTGAGCAGGGGGAAAGAAACCGCAACATCCCCATTGTCAGAAGACTCTTTGGATTTGTGTGTCTAATGTATCTTCTCTCTCCTCACTCAGCTCTTCTACTTTTTTCTTTCCTATCATGCAGTGCATCATCCAAGGACTCATCTCAAAGCAAAATCATCCGCTTCACTCTGGGTCAGAAAAAGATCTCTAGGTTAGACTTTCTCTGTGTCCTGCAAAGCATGGTTTAATCCCAACCCACTGTTCCATTGTTCCCTCTGCTCTGGCTGAGTTTCCCTTTGGTCCTCTCCCCGTTTCATGTTTGCAGTTCAAGAAAACTAAACGTGCTTTGGCTAATGGTCCCATGGTGCAGAGCTTTGAAAGTGGCCATGGGATTGTTGCAAGTGTGTGCGGGGGGAGTGACAGAGTGCAAGTGAGATTGAGGTGTACATGACGTTTCACATTTTCTTGACTTTCGGCTTTGACTGCTTTGTCATCAGAATCCATTCTGATTTAGGTAAAGGTGAGTTTCTACATAGTTTTCATAGTGGTTTTATGATGAGTTTGCTCCCTGCTTTGTCCTGGCCCTAATCCCACCTCACCTGCATCTCATTTATGTGTGTTGTGCTTTGTGGTGGTGTTAAAATTACTAATGTGGGTTTGGTTTTCTCTTGAGTTATAAAGACCTGAGCATGAATCCATATTGGGCAGACGAGACAAAACAGCAAGGCAGCTATGTCTCATTTTTGTTTCTGGATGGTCTTAGGTGCCATGGAGACCACCTCAGTTCCCTGAAAATAAAAAATATCCTTGCTCACGAGCTAGTTCTCTTAATTCAGACTTTAACCTGTCCACTGCCTCCTAGAAGGACCCATCCTGTGGTATGGGAAAAGCCAGTTACATCACATTGCATCATTGCTTCTACTGTTATTTTAAAGGTATCAACAGCTAACATATATTGAATGCACTAATTCAAATGCGTCATCTTATATCATCCTCATGCCAGGCTTCATGAGGTAGGTCATATTATTATCCCCATTTCACAGATGAGGAAACTAAAATTTAGAAAGTTAAGTCATCGTGCCCAAGGCCACACACATAAAAAATGGACGAACCAGGATTTGAACACAAGTGGTCTAACTCAGAACCCTCACTATAACCACAGTGCTACACTCTCTTCCCCCGCTTCTCCCGCCCCCGCTTCAATTCTGGTATCTCTGTGGTTGTTGAGGCTGCTTTTTAAAATCTTGTGTTTCAACCACTACTCTTGGCTTTTTCTCTCACACTGTACTTGTGGCATCCTAACAGAAATTGCTGCTGGGGTAGAATCTCCTCCTTATTATGACTGGTATATATTTATTTATTTATTTATTTTTTGAGATGGAGTCTTGCTCTGTCACCCAGGCTGGAGTGCAGTGGTGCGATTTCGGCTCACTGCAAGCTCCGCCTCCCGGGTTCACGCCGTGCTTCTGCCTCAGCCTCCGGAGTAGCTGGGACTATAGGCACCCACCATCACACCCGGCTAATTTTTTGTATTTTTAGTAGAGACAGGGTTTCACCGTGTTAGCCAGGATGGTCTTGATCTCCTGACCTCATGATCTACCCACCTCGGCCTCCCAAAGTGCTGGGATTACAGGCGTGAGCCACCGCACCCGGCTGACATATTTATTTTTCATTGAATTCTTATTTAAGGGTAAAGAGAAATCCATATTCATATCTGTCTTCATTTCTCTCAAATACATACTGAATAACTGCTCACTTGCTGCCCCAGTGTATTAGCCTCTAAGTGCCTTTCCTTAGCCAGAGTTTGCTTTTTTTTTTTTTTAAGACAGGGTCTCACTCACTCTGTTGCCCAGGCTGGAGTGCAGTGGCGCTATCATGGCTCGCCGCAGCCTTGACTTCCTGGGCTCAAGCAATCCTCCCACATAGCTAGGACTATAGGCACATGCCTCCACACCTAGCTACTTTTTTTTTTTTTTTTTTTTGTATAGGTGGGAGGTGGGGTCTCTCAGTGTTACCCAGGCTGCTTTCCAACTAACGGGCTCAAGCAATCCTCCTGCCTTGGCCTCCCAGGGCTCTGGGATTACAGGTGTGAGCTGCTGAGCTGCCAAGCCTAGAGTTTGGTTTTCTAAAGTGCGTACACTTGGGGACAACCAGGTCAGGCTCTGCCTGGCTGGCGAGGGAGAAACCGCATGGCACTGTGCTTCTCCATAGAGCAAGTCAGCGTGTTACCTAGACTCAGTGGAGGCGACAGTAGGGAACCTAAGTTTGTCACCGCTTCTGGTAGCCATGCAGAAAGTGGCTGCTTTCCCTGACAACACCAGGCCCAAGTCAGAGCGGACACCCACTGCTCTGGCAAACTCGTCCTTTCCCAGTTAATTTGAATGTCACACAAATGCACATACATAGGAAAGGAAAGGGGAGGGATGAGCTGGGAGGAAACCTGAAATTTAGTGCCTGTTCCCACGATGTGCTCAGTCCTGCAAGATAAAGAAAACAGGAGCTAGCTGGGGAAATATCTAATTGGAAGCACATGCCCATCCCGTGAATGATTTGTTATCAGTCCCAGATGATGGAAGGAGGCAGTGGGAAGAGAGGAAGCACTGGAAGATGAGGGCGTGTCAACCCTGTCCTGAGGCTGGGCTGGGCACAGTGCTTCTGGGTTTACCCTAAGCCAAGATCTGACTTTCCCTTAGTGTCATATCCCCCACTTAGAGTTTCTTTCAGATATGTTTTCGTCTCTGCTGAGGCCAACGAAGGGATGGTTCTTTGTTTCAAATGAAGCGTTCAGAGGTTCTTCCTTGCCTTCTCCATACTCCCCTTTCCCCACCCCCAGCCTTACGCAGGATCCTGTGAAGAATTTGAGCTGATCAAGCGCCACGAAGCGCAGCAGTAAAGTTTGGTTGCCAAAAGAAGCAGTCCTACTCCTTCTGGCAGAGTAGGCCACCTCCCCTGGAGCTCTGGAAACAGGTCTTTTGTTGGAGACCAAGCATTGATGGAACACCTGCCAGAGCCCAACACTTTGATGGGCACCAGGGGTATTGAGAAGAATGGGAAGCCTCACCTTTGAATCTGGATGTGGGGAAGGGGCATATGGAGGGAATCGATATGAGGGTGAAAGCTCTCCATGGACTTCTGCCTTTGACCACTCTTATTGCCCCCCCTCCCCGGCTTCCCTGGTGAGACCAGGGAGACTTATTTTACCTGCAGGAGGCAGAGGAACATAGTGGCTATGAGGTGCGGTTAAACCTAAGCGAAGGCCCATCCTTACCACTTGCTGATGGTGTTACCTGGGCAGACGATTTGATCTCTATGAGCCTAGGTTTCCTTATTGGCCAAATGGGGTAGTCTTGCCTTGCTCACAGCGTTATGAGGCTTAAATAAAGTCATTTTATTAATAATTATAAATTAATTAATAAAGTCATTCCTTGTTCCTGACATATAATCAGTTCAAGTTTGGTAGTGTTGGGTTCATCTGGGCCAGGGAAGGCAACCAGAATGCCTCTAGAAAGTCCCGCAGAATTGATCTGTGTGCAACTATCTTGTGGAAAAGAGGCAGTGGGGTTAGCAGTTTGGTCCTCTCTGCCCAGCTGCTGAACTGAAAAGCAGATGCCATGGAAATGAGAGAGATTTAGTATTTAATCATCTTGCCTGGCAAAAAGCATCTCTGATTATGACCGTGCCCCCCCACTCCCCAAACCCCGGCATGTGCACACAAGCTGCCATCCTTCCTGGGAGGAGCCATCCTCTGCCTCCAGCCTTTGAAGTGGTTTTGAGGGGAAGAACTGCTTTTTGCCATCAGCACGTACATCACGTGGAGCAGAGGAGCCGGGATGCACTCGTAGGTTATGTGCTGGGAATGACGGTTTTACTGCCCTGCTTAATTGGCTCTGCACACGTTGGAGAAATTGACCATGGCTCTAACAACAGCAGGATTGTTCCCCCACCTCTTACACCACTTCCCTTAAGCTTAATATTTTAAAAACCCAACATGTATATGTTTCAAAGAACCCGTCTGTGTTCTCTGTTATTTGTAACTGTGTTTGGACATACAGTGATTAGGAGAGGTCAAGTTCCTCTTGAGAAGGAGCTATTGGGACTTCCTTGTGCTGTAGGGGACACAAGATTGACCTGCCACGCTCCCCTCTTGCCACACTGCCTCAGTGAGGCAGCAGGCAGCATCTGTTGTGATACCTGCAGCTGTTCCACAGGCGCCAAGACCTAGCTCTTCAGCAAACAGGTATTCTAATGCTCCAGATGGCAGATGCTTCCAGACTGGAGGTTGATAGACATTCCCATGATACACAAGGATGTTAACAATAATGAATTTCAAAATGTTACCCAGAGGCCTCAGGTCTGCGCCACTGGTAAACAAGAAGATATTCTGCTTTTCAACTCTACCTGTGCTCTTAGCCTTCTTAATTAACACCATATCCCTGGAGGGCAGGACAAAGTCCAAGCTCCATAGTGTAGCATACAAGGTCTTCCCTGCCCTGCCCTGCTTGCTTCTCTAGCCTCATTTCCTGCCACTCTGTCCCCCAAGTCCCAGCACACACCAGCGCTTTCTTTCCCCTGTACTTTCTACAGGCTTTCCTTTGGAGTGGCATGCTCTGCCCCCTGCTTTCCCATCTCCCATTCAGCATGCTGGACTTGCTCTGGGGTCTTCTATGCACTAGCTTTCCTGATCATCTCACCAACCTCCGAGATTTTCATTTCCTTCTCTGAATACCTTCTGAATGTCACGTATTTTATCAATACATGTGTAATCTAGATGTCAGCTGGGGTCGACAAGCCCTTTGAGATCTCGGTAAGATTGAGCATTCTAGCTCTGCCTCTTTCAGTTTGTAGGAAGTCCAGTGGCCTCCCAGGTTTGCTCGGGTATCTCAGGTTCTCGTGGTCACCTTTGGCTTTGAAATCCTGCCCTTGAACTCCAGTACTTGTAAGTTCAGTCTGAATTAGTTCAGTTTGTGGATGGGCTCATCATCCCAAGAGATGTTTTGGTTCCCTCCTGGGTGAGTCCAGGCTTAGCTTTTTTTTCTTTCTTCCCACCTGCCACACAGTCATTACGGCCTTTGTTTGTGAACCAAATACTGTTGAAAATGTCAGACCGAGGGGGCTTACTTTGGAGCAAGCAACGATCTGAGCCCATTTACAACAGAACCTAAGTGTTAAACTACAGAGTTAACATAGATTCTCTCTGAATGGTGGGAAAAAGTACATGATCTCCATCCAGTTTTCTGATTTGATCAAGTTCAGGGAGCCATCCTGTCTAAGGTGTGGAGGCGATAGTGGTCGGGGTGGACAGGAGCTGGCTTGAGCTTTGTGGTGGCTTTTGATGGCTATATGCAAGCCATTCTCCCTTTACCATGTCAGCTGTCCTCGTAGTCCTCAAGAACTCCTTCTCCATGTTCCAGAAGGCTTGGCACAATGCTGCAGCCATTTGAACGATGTGCTGCTCCCATCAAAAGAGCAGCTAGCCACTGACTCAGTGAAAAGAATCTCACCATGACAACCCAAGGGAAACCCAGAACTGTCTTAGTCCAAAACCAGGGATGTTTCATTCCAGAGAGTGGAGCCCACAGATACCCCGAGTGTAAGATCTCAGTCAGCCACAGATATTTGGATTGAGTAGTTTCTCTTCTGGAATGTTCCTAGGGAAATGACGAGCCCTGCCTGCCAAAGCCTATCTTGCCTCTTTGAAAATGTTCATCTCGGACTCTTGTATATTGATTTTTGTCCAGTTCTCTCTGATACTTTAACCTAGACTCATCTGTTTTCTTCTTGATTTATCCAATTATTTTTTGTGCCATAGCATGTTTCTTTTATGCCAATGTCCAATCCCTTCATGAACCTGTGTTCAGTGGAGAAGAAGAGAAAGGAAACTACCATACGGTGGCCAGACATTAAGCCATTTCAGATTTACAGCTGTACCCAATGGTATACTTGTTAACTATTGGGTATAACTGTAAATCATTATTCATCATTATTCCAAAGTTACAGGTAAGGAATATGAATCTCAGAGAAGTTATGAGACTGCTCCAGGGTCTTGTGTATGGAAAAACCTGTATTCCATCCATTACACCATGCTGCCTCACAGAGGACCAGACTGTCTACCTGATTCAAGGTCGTATCTTTCCCATCCTATGCTTTGATTGCTTCCCTCTATCCTGTCCTAAAAATCTGCTGTGGTTCAGCCTAGGGTCAGCACAGTGGGGGCTCTCCAGCAACTCTGAAAGGAATGCATCTTTCCCCTCTTCATTGCTTTTTGCTTCCCTGCCCTTTGCAAATTCCACACTTTGGTAGAATACTGTGACTTGCATTCCCCTACACCACTTAATACCATTGCTGTGACATCATCTTGGAACAAGTCCATAATCCTTTCCTAGGCCTATCTGTGGGCATAATGATTCCCGAAGCCTATGTCTGGTTTAAAAAGTCCAGCCCAAGGGAGGTCCAGATCTTCACCTGCAGAAGCTCTTCTATTGGATGTGAGTAATCAGATAGCACTGACTTGAAGGACTTGCAGAACATTGTTTGCATTGGAAGCAGAACCAAGAGGTACTAAGATCCCCCTGCTGGACCTCCTATGCCAGATGTGCTAGCCACATCTGGTCCCCAAACACAGGCACTGACACTGCTAGTATTTTGTACTCCATTCTGTGTCTGTCTTTGTGGAGTGAATGTCCTCTCCAAACAAGATGGGGTAAATTAACTAAGGGACAAATCCTTGCAGTGCAGTGGGAAGTAATTCTCACTGCAACATGTTGGGGGAAGAGCTAACCCCCTTCTTTCTCTCCCAGCTCCCAGTCAGGGAATTGGGCCAGCTTCTTTTTAACTATATAAATTTTACAGTCCCCTCACACCAGCTCATGTTCTCTGTTTACTCTACAACCATCTTTCTTGCCCAGCCAACAAGAAAAAGTTTAAAGTGATTGCCTGCTTATATCTAAAATGCTTCCAGACTGTAGACTTCTTTGGTGCTTACAGATTTGCATGGAAAGAGAAGGCTGAAAGTTTATGGCTTGAAAATTCAGACTTATCACTAGATCTAATGCTAGTCAGTTGAGGTTCCAGTGGCTTTTAAACACAGCTAAGTGGATTTCAGCTGAAAGATATAACTAAACATTTCATCATTTATTCATCTTTCAACTTTAATTATTGGAAACAGCCTGCTTAGTAATTCCCTGGACCAAAATTCTGATTTGAGGGGTCTTACCATTAACTCTTTGGTGAATGGGCCATAATATCTTTAGACACATTCTGGATGGTGACTTTATTTCCCAAGCCACCCAAAATGAGGTGTTTTATTTAAAGGGAGAATGTTGTGTGTTTGTCTTTAGGCTAACAAATTCCTACCAGTTTTACAGGAAAAATGTGTGATGTTTTCCATCTACCGTGCAGATAAGTTGTACTTCAGCCTCAAAATAATGCCTGTGGAGACAGGTTGTCAGGCGTTGAAGGGAAATGTATTTGTGGGCAAGTGTTTCCAACCAACCTTAAGTTTTCATTGCAAATATGTTGGGTTCTGAGTAGTAGTAATTCACCTTCTCACCATTATAAATTGTCCTTTTCTTGATACTTACAACCCCAGATTATGGCAAACAATTTTATACCTATCAGAAGAGATGCACACCAAGGTTATCAGTTTAGAATCCTCTGAGGCCTTTATGTTCCATGTTTGATAGAATTAGAAATGACTGACTTGACCCTATTAAAAAGTGAAAATGCTTATCTCAGAGGGGGGAAAAAAAGTGAACTTTGTTTTTGTTTGTTTGTTTGGTTTTTTGTTTTGTTTTGAGTCAGGGTCTCACTCTTTCACCCAGGCTGGAGTGCAGTGGCACAATCTTAGCTCACTGCAAACTCTGCCTCCCAGGTTCAAGCAATTCTTCTGCCTCAGCTTCCCAAGTAGTTGGGATTACAGGTGCCCACCACCATGCCTGAATAATTTTTGCATTTTTAGCAGAGATGGGGTTTTGCCATGTTGAACTTTGTGTTTTTAATCCACAAACATATTTCTTCATCAAAATTTTTCTCTCTGCTCAAAGGAAAACTTCACGTTTTGCCATTGGACTTTGCTGGGATCATTACTTGCCTACATGTTTGTAATGGTTCCACCAAATTCTGTGACTGGTAAACCTCCACACAATGTCTTGAATAGTTTATTTTACCTCCTGCATGGTTGCAGTTCCTTCTTCCCACACACTGTTACCCTCCTGAGACTGAATGCATAATCCTGTTGCTTTTGCATTTTAGACTTCCAGGTCCTACCGCGAGGGTATCCGCTGCAGGCAGCGAGGCCAAAACACGTGGAGGGTCAACTACTGCTAACAACCGACGCAGCCAGAGCTTTAACAACTATGATAAATCCAAACCAGTCACCTCCCCGCCCCCACCGCCAAGCAGCCACGAGAAAGGTGAGTCACCTTCTTGAGGAGCCTTTTTGGCATTTTCCTTCAGAGCACGTCTACCTAGTTCCTTTGGGTGAATTAGGTTGGGTCGTGGGGAGGGGTTGCATTTGTAGTGAAAATGGGTTACAAGGACATATTTGGCAGGCAGGAACTTTTTAGCCAGAGGTATTAATAAAGTGGGGGAAATATTATTATAGTCACTAGCAAAAATAATTTGCTATCTTTCTTTGGGTGGGGCCCCATAAACACTTGGCTATGGATAAAAGCGATATAGCATTTGGAATTTGAAAATACATTTTCATGGAATATGTTTTATATATTAAGTAATTTTTCAGAAATATAAGCTTCTTGGAGCATGCATTTTGTGAACTATGATAAGCTTTTTTATCCATCAGAAATAATGTGAGGGGAGTTAGGAACAAGAGGTTTTTACCCTTTGAAAAAGTCAGGAATGTGGATTGGCTCATTGAAGATCTTGGCTACATATAAGGAGTGGACAGCATTGCTCTAGGAGTTGTGATGATGTAGCTTTTGCCATAAAAGGATATGGATTTTTTTTTACTATACACAGTACTGAGTTTTTAGGATGGAGAAAAATAGTGAATAGTCCCGTGGGGGTCCTGCCCAGAAGGTAGTAAAACAAACCTTTGCTTGTTTCAGCCTCTATCTCTTGAGACATTGGAGAAACTGAGGTAGATTATTCAAAGATTATTCAAAAAGAGGTAGAGCCTTCCTTCATTCCTTCTAGGCAAAGTAGTCTAGACTAGACATCTTTAGGAAATATGTCCAGGTCTCCTGGAAGCATTTCCTACCTGGTGGTGTAGAAGATTCTTAGGGCTGTCTGGATGGTGTTTCTCGATTTCCCTGAGGTCCAGGAAAGCTGCCCTTCACTCCCTAAAGTGCCCCAGGAGCATGGGCAGCCCTCCTACTGTGAATGAGCTGGGAACCGCCGCCATCTTCTCCTCTAACTCAACGTCACTTGATTCAGTGGAACTGAGTTCCCCCAAGTGTTTGCTAATCACTATATCTTTTCCTCCCCACATATGAAGGAAATGTAAAGAGGGCTGACAGATGTGTATGGAAAAAGGTTTTCCAGCCAAGGCACTGGGAACTCTGCAAATGGCACTAACGCTATCACCAGGATGTCTTAACCCATCAAAACTTTGTCATCTAGCCCTTAGTTTCTGCCTCAAGCAACCATTTTTACTCTTCTTCTCTCTCTCCTTTCCCCCTTCTTTCCCCTCTTCTCTCCCACTTTCCTTTTCTTCACCATACCCATGTGTTTTTTAAGTGTGCTTAGATTACAAAAATAATATATGCTTGTAAAATGGTACAAGTATCAGATAAAAGTTCTCCTGTCTATTTTCCTTAGAGTACAAATATATACCATTCTATATATATCCATCTAGAACTTTCACAATGCATTTATATATGTATATATTTATGTATGTATGTATATGTATGTAATAGAAAGGTTTGTGTTTTTACATTGATGTGTAAAAGCTACTTTATGAGTACCTACCATGTGTCTTATTTTATCCCTATTTTACAAAAGATGAAACTAAAGCAAAGAAAGGTTAAGTACTTGCTGAAGTCCTATCAGAGATAGTGAGAGATGGAGTTGGATTTGAACCCAGGCACTTCGATTTCAGAACCATGATTAATACCGTGCTTTCCCTGGAATTGGGAAGCAAATGCTTGAAGCTTTGCCAGTTGAGGGCTGGTTGGCCAGCACATGAGGAGAAAGTTGGGAAGGTGTTAGGAAAAGCCTGTGCTGGGCCTCTCCTCGCGGGCCAATCTGCCCTTGCCCCATGCTCCTTTGGGAAGAAGCTATCATAAAAGAGTCTGAAAGATGGATGTGAGACCCAAGTTCAAAAAATTGAGAAAATAAAGGTAAAAGTTCCTAGTGGATGGGACAGGTGTAGAAGGATACTGTGTTCTACAGCCGCCTACGTGTGTGCCCACCAATGCTAGGACGGCAACTGACCTGCCCCTGCCCTGGGCAAAGGCTCCCACATCTGCTCTGAGCAGCCTGAGAACAAGGCCCCTTAAAGGACCATGGTGCAAATTCTAGTAGAGGCAGTGCCCCAGGGAAAGACTTTAGTGTCAGATGAAAGAAAGGGAAGTCATACTTATTTATTTATTTAGAGATGGAGTTTTGCTCTTGTTGCCCAGGCGGGAGTGCAGTGGTGTGATCTCGGCTCACCACAACCTCCGCCTCCTGGGTTCAAGTGATTCACCTGCCTTAGCCTCCCTAGTAGCTGGGATTACAGGCATGTGCCACCACGCCCGGCTAATTTTGTCTTTTTAGTAGAGATGGGGTTTCACCATGTTGGTCAGGATGGTCTCGAACTCCCGACCTCAGGTGATGCGCCGGTCTCTGCCTCCCAATGTGTTGGGATTACAGGCATGAGCCACTGTGCCCGGCCATCATACTTATTTATTAAGAACTTTGATTTTCTTTTCCTTTTTTTTTTTTTTTTTTTTGTGATGGAGTCTCGCTTTGTCAATCAGGCTGGGGTGCAATGGCACAGTGTTAGCTCAGCCTCGCAAGTGGCTGGGATTACAAGTGTGCAACACCACGCCCTGCTAATATTTGTATTTTTAGTAGAGATAGGGTTTCACCATGTTGGCCAGGCTGGTCTCTAACTCCTGACCTGAAGTGATCTGCCCGCCTTGGCCTGCCAAAGTGCTGAGATTGCAGGTGTGAGCCACTGTGCCTGGCCTGATTTTCAGTATGGTACCTGATCTTTACAAATGTTCTGTGAAGTAAATACTGTTAACTCAGTTTTACAGGCAGAGAGAATGAGGTTAATAGAGATTAAGTAACTTGCCCTCACTGGTAACTAAGCACTGGAATTGTATCCAGGTTCCACTCCGGGATTCAAACTCTGGCTTCGTCCTGTCCTTGGGGAGGTCTGTTATGAGGATAAGGTGGGGTGGTACATGTGAGAGTGTTATGTGAGCTGTGACACTGGAAAACTCCTGTGAGGATTCACAATGATAAAAACAACTGATGGTGGTCCCAGTCTGTAGCAGGGTGCATTTATTCTCTCCCCTACCCTGGGCTGTCCCAGGTTTTTTTTTTTTATACTAACTTTTTCAACCATCCTGAGGTAAAAAGGCCGTGGAAGTTTACTTTCAGAAACTGCTGCATTTCCTTCACCTTTTTCCTTGGTTTCTGTGTTCTCCCTTGAACCTGACCTGTTGATTGCAGCTCCTGAGGTAGCCAGCCCACATGCAGAGTGAAATAACTACCTGGATAAGACACAACAGGTACCTGGGCGAGGTCACCTCTTGTCCTTCACCTTAAGTTCTGCCTCGGGGAGGGATACTCTTGTGAACAGATGAACCACAGTTTGTTGTGGTGGGTGCTGTGTAGCTGAGGCGTGGACTGTTTTCAGGTGAGGTAAACTCCGTGCTGTAATCCCATCACCCCTGTTCCTTCATCCTTCCCGTAAGTGAGTCAGACCCTGACTGGCTCCGGTTCTGGCATTGCACTCTAAGGTGAGCCGATTCATAGACTACTTTTTCAGACAGTAGTGGCAAAATACCTATAACATAAAATTAACCCTCTTAACCATTTTAATCAATAATGTTAAGTATATTCACATTGTGGTACAGCCAATCCCTGGAACCTTTTCATCTTGCAAAATTGAAACTCAGTACCCGTTAAACAATAACTCTCCATCACCACCTCCCACCAGCAGCCCCTGGCAACCACTTTCTGTTTCTATGAGTGAGAACTCTAGATATCTCATGCAAATGAAATCATACAGCATTTTTCTTTTAGTGTACGGGACACAGCTTCTGAAGAATTAAATAATTACTTATAAAGCACTTTAGAATACTGCTTGGAAAATAATAAACACTGAGAAAATTTTATCTTCAAAATATGATAGTATATGCATAAAAATATGGAATAATATAAATAATGGGCATATTTCACTTAGCATAATGTCCCCAAGGGTCATCCATGTCATAGCCTGCAATTCATAGACTTTAATGTGTGACCCCATTGACCTAAGAATTTCACTCTGAAGAATTGCTCTAATGACATCAGTAACTTCAATTAGAAATTCATTATTCTGTCAATAAGTGACAAAAATATTTCAACATTTAGTCCCAATTTTTAAAAATATTAAGAGGAATTAAAAATTGTAACAGGCAACTTTTCAAAACCCATAGAGCACTTTATACTTTGTAGGGAAATCCTAAAGGATTTATCTTAAAATCATGCCCCCTCCTGCTATCATCACTGAATTTAGTTCTGGTTACACAGAACAACCCACTGAGATGTGAAGCTGAAGAAAAGAGATAATATATAATACTTCTTAGCTACAAAAGGCCTAGAGACTCACATGAAATTCATTCACTTGTTCCATAAGGTGGTGGCCAAGTACACAGTTGATGTGTAAAAAACAAAAATATTCCCAGACAGCAACATAACCTACTAGTTTTCCCAAAGACTGATCTCAGATTTTGCCTGTGAGGTTTGAAGGAAAGTCTGCAGAGCCTTTAGGAAAACCTGCAAGTTGTTTGTTGTATCATCATTGCCATCATGGTTAGATTTGCCTTTGATTTCCTCTTCTCTCTCCTGCAAGCAGCAATGAGCCACATCTGTGCCTGACCTGTGGTACATGTGAGCAGATTTGCCAGTGAAAAGTCAGTGTCCAGAGATGGTCAGGACACAGGAAGACTACTCACTTCTGTTGACTCCAAGTGGCCCTAGGGCTCCAGACCAGAATCACAGATTTTCAGGGACAAAGAAATAGCTGTCTTTTAAAATATTTGTGATATTACCTGTTTTATCTTCCTTTCCTCTCACATCCTTTGAATGAATTAACACTGCCTGGGATCTAGTACATTTCTAAAGTATTTGGTCCCTCTTACGAATTTGAAACATTTGGTATTCCTAGACTGACTTATGTGCATATAGAAGGTACTCTCTTCTGAATAATATGGTTTTCTTCATTTTACAGAAAGCACATCTTTATTTTCATTAC